AGACACTGGCAGACACTGGTAGACGCTGGTAGACGCTAGATCGATATCCATACTTTCCTAGTCGCTGACGCTGCCGGACGCTCGGAACGCTAGTGGACGCTAGTAGTCGCTGGTGGACGCTGCCGCAAAGTACGAACGCTACCCAACGAGGATGGTTCTCATGTCACTGCGCTGTGCTATGAGAAGAACAACAAAGGCTAACCAAGAAAAATATAGCGACTCTTGTCCTGCAGTGCAATGCACTACTTGGAAGTACAAAGTACTTGGTGTGCCCGGGATAATATAAGGCGCTAATAAGTTGGGGCCACGGCTGTAAGCGCTTGTCAGCATACCTAATCCTGTAAACTGGTTGAAGTGTCTTGAATAGACTGAAGAAACCTACCCTGTCTATAAACTGTTTCGCTTCAGACGGTAGCTTTTTATACTTGTCTTGGAATGCATTGACTTTTGTATATAAGCTCGGATATAGCGTCTTTCAGTTTGTCAAGAGTCTAAATGATTTGAAGTTTGCATACGAAATGAATTTCAAACTTTGTCATGCTGTTTCACTCTGGCAGAGAGGAAATTCTGCGTAACAGCTTTACTGGGCTTACTAAAACCACCCGCGGAATCACCAGAATCACCTCCTCGAGGAAAAAATTAGAGCGAGTTTTTCCACCCTCCCCCCCCCCTTCCCTCCCTTGTAGTTCCCATCCACAGAAAGGTTGTTCCACTCTACGAATAATCACCTCCTTGAGGGCTCATCAGGTAAAATCCACGAACCGCACATTGCCGTAAAATGTTTACTGACGCTGTTCCAAACGTTTTCTTTCGGGAATCGGACGCCTAGATGGGTATAAGTCACTGCCCATTAAGCCTATATACGCAACTAGTACACTACCAGCAATCTGCCTCCCCCCCCCCCCCCGGTTTCCCATATTCTCCACTCCTGAACGCTGGTGGACGCTTTCGTTCGCTAGAGCTCGAAACACTGGTGGTCGCTGGTGGATGCTGCCGTACTTTAGGAACCTAGGCTGCGTTTATACTTTGCGGCAGCGTAGCGCTTCCAGCGTACGCCAGCGGCAGTGCCGGGGAAAGGATAGATATCGATCTAGCTTCACCAGCGTCACCAGCGTACGCTAGCGGCACGCCAGCGTACGCTAGCGGCACGCCAGCGTACGCTAGCGCGCACGCCGGCGTAGCGAGGGCACGGGAAGCATAGCTATCGATCTAGCTTCACCAGCGTTTCTCGAGCGTTTCTCCAGCGTTTCTCCAGCGGCACCAGCGTATTGCTTTGTTAGCGCTTGCAGGGCAGGAGAGTGAGACGTTATGTGCGCCGAGAACTCGGAATTCGACGTGGTACTTGTAGAGAGCTATTCGTGCCGTCGAGACTGCTGAGACGCGATGCTGCATGAGAGACTAAGGGCGAGTGAGAGACGCGCAATCGATGTGTTTTGTACCCTCCAGCTCTCCCATAGTCTCTACTCCCCTGCCGCTGCAAACGCTAGCGAAAACTGCTCCGTGAAACGCTGGAGAAACGCTGGCGTACGCTAGCGTGCCGCTAGCGTACGCTAGCGTGCCGCTAGCGTACGCTAGCGTGACGCTGGTGACGCTGGGAACGCTAGATCGATATGCATCCTCTCCCCGGCACTGCCGCTGGGCGTACGCTGGAAGCGCTACGCTACGCTGCCGCAAAGTATAAACGCAGCCTTATGTTCGGTAGCAAAAGGAAAGCGTCTCGCAAGATACTTGACCGCCAAGAGTGCTGGCATATGCTTTTTGCGGGATTCTTCCATGTGAGACAAGAGTCATCCTGTAAACCGGACAAATGCATGATTACGATTGTCCGAAGACGGTGATGTCTCCTAAAAGGGTACCTGCCGTCACGTGAAGTACGCTGTCACGCCCACATAATCTCCTGATATGGACTGTAGTTGGAGGGGGGGGGGGGCACGATGGTACGGCAATGCCACGTTGTGTGCTTGTCTGCCTCTCGCCAAGATACCGTCCGAGAGGATTCTGATGGGTTTACCGACACATTTCGTGCTTTACACCAATTGCCTGTAGAGTCTTGTCGTTGCGTAGCATGGGGCGTGTCAGCGCGGCTCCTCTGAAAGATGGGATTTCCACGTTGAAGCGGGTAAGCGACAAAAATTGGTGAAAAACGACCGATGCGAACTGTATGATACAGTCTTGTTGCTTGCTCTCTTTAACCACTGGCGAAAAACGGGTTTGTGCGCCGCGCCAAACCGGGACACATTGACACGCCCCAGCATCTTCAGCGAAGAGAAGCTGTGCATTTCCCCTCCCCCCTAACACTAGCTATGCTCGACCATGAAAGTTCTGAAGCACTGATGTGCTGATAAGAGGTGTGAGTGGGTGGAGACGGATGTTTCACCAAATCGCTGAGGAAACAGAAATCCCAAGCTGAGATCGTACTTCAGGGTATCCAACAAGTATGTGGATGTCTCAAGTGGAAGTAAATTGCACACGCGTAAAATCTGCGCATATCTCAATGTGCGCTAGTGGTGGGAGAGTTCAGAAAGGAAATAACTAATTATGACAAACAAATGTTGGTACCCCCTGCTCATTCCGAATTGCGGTAACAATACCTCGCAGAACATAGAGTTCACCAGCAGTGAAACCAGATATGCTGGTTAGTACATTCAGTAAAATGTTGTTCTGAGTGAGTATTGGTGACGCAAGGAGCAGAACTCCGAAGGTGAGAAGAAGCACTTTCAGCACCATAGAAATGTTGCTGGAAGAGAAGTGAGCACAGTGCCTCCCACAGCCTTTTTATGGTTGTTTCCCTGAGAAGCCTTTGTTGTTTTCAATAAGACTGTTTTTTTCCAAATGAGCCCTTTATTGCATTCGTCACCAGCAAGCGTTCGAACGCTGAACGAACTGGTGAATCAACTGATCTCAACAGAAAAGAGTGCTAGTTTCACATTCATTTTTGAAAGTGAAACTTATTGGGATGAGGAAAAGAACCATTGAGATTCGGCAGATTGAAAAATGAAAAGATTTTATCTGTACTCACTTTCAAGCAAGGAACGTATAAGGAACATATGGCATTGATTAAAGACATATTCCATGATAACGCTGGAGGCGATCCTTCTCGTAGGTGGACAGGTCCGCAGCCGTAGTAGTGGTACAACTTTCGAAATTTGTAAGTACGTGTAAGATGGGTCAAGAAACCTATAGGGCTGTGACAGCTCGATGTTAGGCTGCGTTCATAAATACTTTGCGGCAGGGTCTACCAGCGACCGCGAGCGCTTCGAGTGTCCTTCAGCGCCAGCGACTAGGAAAGTATAGACATCGATTCAGCGTCCAGCAGTGTCTGACAGCGTCCACCACGACGAAAAATGGTCCATGTACTAGCGAACGCCGAAGTCCACTAGAAGTCTACTGACAGCGTCCACAACTGCGTAGAGACTGGAGATAAGGAAAGTAGGAAGGTAGCAGACTGCTGGTAATGTATGGGGAAGTAGGAGGGAGAAGACAGCTCGATTGTGAAATTGCGTGTGAAACTACCGCACTACTACACAATACCGACGTTAAATTGAATAATTCTGTGCTTTAGCAGTTGTACTGTGCGGTTGCACATGCCGCTATTTCAGGACGCGTAATCCAGCTGTCGCTATCCTAATACTTCCCTATACTCTAATAGCAGTTTACCCTCCTACTTCCCATACTCTCCACTCTTGGAGCTGGTGAACGCTGCCTTTCGCTGGATCGATGTCTATAGTTCCCTAGTCGCTGGCGCTGATGGACCCTCGAAACGCTGGTGGTCGCTGATGGTGCTGATAGCAGCCTATTACATCTCTCCATCATTCGATGCTCCAGGAATACGCCATACGCGCTTCCACCTGACACTTTACGAGCATTTGGTAGTGCACCGGTGCAACTTCTGACAACAGGAGGTCTAGATCGAGTCCGTCTATAAGTTCTGGAGCCCAAAGATTGGTCGTTTTTAGGCTTGCTTTGAAACTATGCGTTAAACAGAACTATCTCTTTGTAGCCCACCCCTTCTTTTTCACCTGTCAATCGTTCTGAAAATCATTAAAACGTGGACAAATCATGGTAACCTACACTGCTTGCCCCGGAGATGGAGAGGCCGTGGCTGCGCACTCAGCCTAAACGTGGCGTAGAATGCGCTTTTCGTGGGAAATATCCCCTTTAGGACAACTTTCATCCTCTTCTGTGCTGGACGAAGACATGGTTACACTTGTCGGAATACTTCATAACTTGTAATATTATCAAATGAAGTGAATATGCGACCAGGTTCATGCTGCAAGTAATGGAAACAATCAAGTTTCACAGTCCTGTGCTAATTTCTATCCCTCTTGGCATTGTTTTGGAGTGGGAGCCATCTTTGGAACATACGTTTCATAACAAAAAGAAAAGGCGTTATCGTCAAGTGATGAAAACTAGTGGGTTGAAAATGCACCTTAGCATATGATTGATAAATATTTACGCATACGTATACTATGTGTACTGTACTGGCAACCAACAAGTGCTTCACTAGGGGAGACGGGCCAAGAGGATCGTAAATTGCCGCTTCGTCGCGCGCGGCAATGGGCGCGACGTTTCCTTAATTTGCACTACCCTTTCGATTGGAGCATCGGATTTCATGTAGACAAGGACATGGTAGACACTTATGTCTATTTTTGGTCATACATTGTCTATTCTCGACCAATACCACCTAAAATCGTCGTCATTAGCGGGCGCGACGTCGCACGCGACGCCCACTGGCGCGCGAATCACGATTCTCGCGCCACACACCCCCTGACTAATGCAATTTGAGCAGGGCAAGTTTCTATTGCTATTCTATATTCCTTCTTCTATTGCTGTTCTATTAGATGCCACTTTATTCGGTCTCGCGCTTTCTTTTGCAACACCGTGACGTTAGGCGTTAAATATGTGGCGCTGAAAGTACGCAATTACACAGGCAACTTGTGGTATTTTTACATGACAGTGTGGTGTTGTTTAGAGCAGAACATCGATTCGGTCAAGGCCTAATGTCCAAGTCGTGCAACGCGCTTCGGTCAACCATCACTGCTCTACGGCGGCAGATACGTAACATGAGCAGCTTCTCGCCGGCCAGTCGTCTCCATGGAACTAAACCCAGCATCTGGTATGATTTAGATTTATTTCTAATTTTATGAGTTCCAGTTCAGTATTATGTTGTGAGTCAATTCATTTTACGATAACAAATTTATCACTAATGATCCCAACAACCCTAAAAAGAGACCAGAAGTCCTTTGTTCGAATATATCGGTGCCTCGTCCCAAAAGTTCCTTCTACGAATATTTCGGTGATTAGCACCCTCCTCCACGACTTGAAATATCCTGACTAGGAAAGTTTGTTTGAATGGAATCTACGCTGTCCGTATAACCCTCGGGGTTCTGCTCAGTATTGGGAGTAGCTACCGGGACCTTGAAGGAACAAGTGGGTTACCTACCCTTGTCTCTATTTTGAATGATAGTGGACGCGCGTAAAGACTATCACTGCGGCATCGAGGATTTACGCCCTATTACCATAACCTGGCAAACTAATCCTTCTGGGGATTAACTGAACAAAACCGCCTCGGTAGCATTGGAGAGCGCGTAATAGTTCAAGAACCCCTTCTCCCCCCCCCCTTCCTTCCTTGTACAGCCCTATATCCCTGAGAAGGAGTAAGGCGTGGCATTTGAACATTACCTAGAATCGGTTATTCTTGGGATATTTCAGTTTGAGACGATTGTCATGCCTTGGCTTTGTGTTGGAGCAGAGAAAGGGCCCAAATGATGTCAGAATGAAAATATGCCACCGAGAAGCGCACCCCATCGCCCAAGCTCTAGTTACAAGCTATGCACCAAGATACCGCCTTACACCTCACACCGCCGGATGCTGGGTTTTATCTCGTTTTATGAGTGTACTTATCCTCTACATGAGTGATTCGATCGTTTTTTTCCGGTTGTATACAATAAACTCCTCGTGGGGTTGGGGGCTTTTCAATGTGGTTCTGAAGGACCTGAGGTACTTGGTTTAATGCTGCTCACAAAACTAGCGAATTTTCCAAATGCCTCCTCCCATGCCGAACCGTTAAGGCCGCGTTCATACCGTGCGACGTCTTTTGCGTAAGTTGCGACTAGTTCGTGAAGAATACATACGTATCGATCCGACGAAAGCTGCGTAAGTTGCGTCAGCTTACGCAACTTACGCAGCTTTCGTTGGATCGATACGTATGTATTATTCACGAACCAGTCGCAGCTTACGCAGCTTTCGTCGACGTTGACGACGACGTCGCACGGTATGAACGCGGCCTAAGCGCTCCACTAGGGACATGCTGGTTACGATGTGCTATGATTTTTGAGCTTTTTCAGGGTGGAATTCACGACTCTCGCTCGCGAATGCGGAGCTGTAAATCTTGGACAGGTGAGTCTTCATTGTACAGTTTTCGTTGTTGATGCTTGATATCAAACCTGCTATACTCTTGTCGCTCAGTCGTCTTCGTAATGAAGTAGAGCGCTTTCATAGTTCGTGATGCGATCGCTTAGATCGCGATTTGAGCTTACGGATTGCGAAGTATGAGCGCGCTTTCACCTCGGATTGCAAGAGAGGTTAACAGTGACCAACCCCAAAAAACAGTTATGCTACAAATAATATGAGCGAATAGAGGCTGGAAGGAGCCTGAGCTTAAAAACAGCTTGTAAAGAGGTGCTCACTGTTTGATCAAGGAGATCGTTTCAGGGCTTCCCAAATGAACCAGTGCCCAAGTTTGTCACAGATCTGCTGGGAAACGTTGCTGCTCATAATGAAGAAGTTCGCATGGCATCAATACACTCAAGGTAATCTTTTTATTTTTTAAGCAAGAGATCGAGGCCGTTATAAGTTACCCAAACGAAGGCAAGTTATGTGGGATAGATGGAAGGGAGTAATTAATGATACATCCCGTAATTACAATTCATGGGTTTTGGTTCTTGAATATGAATACCTGTCAGTTGTTTTACCATCAGAAGAATGAGTGGTACGTCGAATATTATATAAGCCTCAAAGAAATGATGAGTATTTAAAGAAGGAGGCCCAACCTTCCGGGGGAGAGAGCAGTGACAAAGGATAAGGATGAAAGGAAAAAGAGAGAGACCACGGGTCGGCTCTGCACAGAGTGAGAACACCGCATCACACCCTGGTTAATAGATACTGGATCGTTCTCATATCGTTCGCAGGTGGGGCACTTTCTACAAACAAGTACGCCTTTGGCTTTGGCGTGACATCTACCAACGCCCTAGCTGGGAATTCGCGAGGGTAGGGCAACCTGTGAGCTTGCAGACCGGGCTACACGTCCAAAGTGGTACTTGTACCCATCGGGTAAACGGGAATGTGTCTTTCAGGTAAAAGCTACACATTAAGATGCTGAAACTAGCGCTGAAGTTGAACTTTTGAGGTGAATAGTGCGATACTGATATATGACAATGGGTTCGCGAAAATATGAGAGATAGATGCCTGAAAGAAGTGTGGCAGTTTGTTGTCTGAATATTAAGTGTACGCATTGCATTAACTATCTCACCATTTCATTTTAGGACTAGGTCACCCTCGCCTCATTAATGTTCTTGCGAGATTGTATGGTGGTCTTTACGGAAGGGATATAAAAGGGAATGAAGAGGTTAGTCATTTTGAGTTCTTTTTTATATTGTCGCTTTTCGTTGTAGGAGCTGCAAAAATCCTATGTGATCAAATAGATTGTCAGGCTTTTGAATGGAGATGTTTCCCACGCCAACAAATGTTTCTAGATCTGTGGAACTGTTACTGTCGCCCAGGCCACCCTTGAACTTTAAGAAAAAAGGCATCAAAAATTTGAAACCCTTCGATTCATGGCTTACTGCCGATATCTAAAAATACGGCTGACCAGCTCACTATGTTAAACGTGTGAGTGTTGTAAGACAAATATAAAAGCCGTCAAGCTGAAAGGGGAGACGGAGGCGTGGCGCTGGAAAGGAAATGTGGGCTCGTGTCCCGTCTGGGGTCAGACTTTTGTCCATAACTCAGCATTCTTTTCAAAAGATTAATGCTCGAATGGCCGGCTCAGTAAGCTGTGTGGGTCCCTGTTAATTCTACCTATTCCTTCTTTGTCAGCTTATAAATGACCAAAGAAAATAAGTGCTGAGCTTCGTTGAGCAAATTCCTGCAGCTTCTCACACCGTTACAGTGAATCTCTCATGAGTTGATCCATATTGGAAAATACGTAGCGCCTGCATTTATTGGCGCTTATTCTGCGGTACATGTGGCGACGATGGAACTCAAATGTTTAGATCTTAGTCACTGTTGGAGCATATCTTGGACTCTATTACTCCTTTATGGCATTCATCGGTCATGGCGATGAAGTAATAAGTGGGTTACTTGTACTTTATTTCTTCTGTGTGCCATTATTTCTACGTATCTTTTCTTTTTCAATTAAAGGTAGAGTCCGCGGTTGACATTCGTGGGGTTTACGACCATATACTGAAGGTGCTAAGTAACTCAGCAGTGAATGAAGAAAGCAGAAAGAGTCGTTAAAACGCTCTGTATGAGACTGCAGGTGGCTATAAGGCTGCGTTCATGCTTTGCGGCAGCGTTCGCTAGCGTACGCCAGCGTCTCGAGGGATCAAGGAAGTATAGGTGTCGAGCTACAAGCGCTGGAGTTCAGCAGCGTTTTCGCGGGCAGTTTTGCTCGAGTTTACGAAGCCTACAAGCGCTGGAGTTCAGCAGCGTTTTCGCGGGCAGTTTTGCTCGAGTTTAAACGTGACCGCGAAAACGCTGATGGACGCTAGAACTATATCTATATCCCCATACGGCGAAGAGAGATTGAGCGTAGAAAAAAGAAACAGTGTGTGTTGAGAAAGCACAAAGAATGGAAACACACTGCTATACTGTCATGGTGGGACAATATGTATAATCATGTTACGGGGCTCTTGTCAACCAGACGTGCTCTCGCTGCGAGGGTCCAGGGATATTTTCTAGAGCATCTACCAGTCCAGTACTTTGAAGGGAGAAGGTAAAGGAGGAAGGACCAGAGAAGTGAGAAAGGAAAAGAAGGAATGAGGAAGAAAACGGAAAGAGAAGACTCCCTGGTTGACAAGTGCACTGAGACGGTATAATCAAGGCGGAGATCATAAACGGAGGGGCGGAGGTGATAAAGTGTAGTAAAGGGCTGCCGAGTTACTGATATGCATGTCCTCTCATCACTGCAGTTCAAAAGAAAGTGCATTGCAAGTGCAAACACTGTAATAACGATCTTCAAGTACACGTAAATTAGTACGACTCTTATGGTTAGGGCGCGTCGTACGTTGGGCATCGCCAGCGAAGAGGGTCATATTTGCCTCGTGGGAAATGTCCTCGGTTGTTGACTTTCTCTTGGTTTTCCTGTTTAAAGTGCGCCATCCCCCCAACAATTTCAGTTTTTTTTTTCGTGGGAAAAAGTGGAATTTTCGGAGTCTTCAGAAAAAAAATCCGCAATCCAGGAAAGCAGTTCTTTAAGGGAAAGTGGTGGCATTCCCGAGAAACTCCAAAAAAAAAACTCCGGAAGCTTTCAGGAGGTTGGGAACATTCAGCAAGTTGATTGATGGGATTGGGAGAAGGTGCGACGTACCAGAAGTGGAAGTTTTATGGGGAGTCGTGTTTTGCAAAAATTTTCCCCAAGGCAGGACGTGCCCTGACGAGTTTACGGTGTATATCTACTCTATGATACTTGGTATGTATTTCTTCGGTATGTATTTAACGGAAACAAACTAGGGCGAGAAGAATTAGGCTGCGTTTATACTTTGCGGCAGCGTAGCGTAGCGCTTCCAGCGTACGCCAGCGGCAGTGTCGGGGAAAGGATAGATATCGATCTAGCGTTCCCAGCGTCACCAGCGTACGCTAGCGTAGCGAGGGCACGGGAAGCATAGCTATCGATCTAGCGCTCCCAGCGTTTCACTAGCGTTTCGCTAGCGCTTGCAGCGACGGGGCTAGAGAGTATAGAAGAGCAGGAGAGTATTTTGTACTCTCCTATACTCTCTAGCCCCGCTAGCGCTTGCAGCGACGGGGCTAGAGAGTATTGAAAAGTAGGAGAGTACAAAATACTCTCCTACTACTATACTCTCTAGCCCCGTCGCTACAAGCGCTAGCGAAACGCTAGTGAAACGCTGGGAGCGCAGCTTCACAAATCTTTCAAAATGAGAAACCTATATTTTTGCAAGAGAATCGTTGAAAAGGTCTCGTAGCAAACGACACGAGAAATCTTTGAAAGGACTATGACGGAGATTCAGGGCAATTCGCATTTAGAAATCAGGTAGTAGCAAGACGTTTTGGTAGTGCTGTGTTCGGGGAAGTCTAATGTTGTCCAGCCACGTTTGTTAGTCACGTTATTCCTCACTAATCCACATCATCTCCGCAAAATAGCTCAATAGATGACGTTTGCCTTGCAATGTGTTTTTTTCAGTCATGGACCCTGCGTATGACAGTTATGATCCGCAAGTTAGAATGGCAGGAGGTGTTCCAGTTCATTATGCTATGTCGGTTTCACATCCCGCTGCATCGAGCAGTGACTTCAAGATAGACATTGCTAAACTGCGTGCAAAATGTTCGCAAAAGACAAAGGTACGTGAAGTGTTGTTCAGTTCATGATGCTGTGTGAGATAGATACATTTCCCAGTATAGATGCTTGTGTTGAACAATCCTAACAATCCAACGGGTAAAGCTGTACTCTCGTGAAGAACTTGAAGCTATTGCTGAGGCTGGTGCGCGAGTTCAATCTGATTGTGGTAGCAGATGAAGTTTATGAATGGCATGTGTGGGATAAGAAGATGATTCCGATTCGGTGAGAGTTAGGCTTCGTTTTGTTAGTTTCATTTTTTTAGTTTACAAGTTCTGCTGTACTCAAGAGGGTGCAGGCGGTGCAG